TTATTACCACAGGTCAATCACAAACCAGTCCCGTACCAATCACAAACAAATCACAGATCAATTACAAACCACTAACAGGTCAATGACAACCTGACGACAAGCTAAACACAAGCTAATCACAGGTCAATGACTAGCCAGTCACAATCTAATCACAAGCTAATTGCAGACCATTCACAGGTGTATAAAGAGATAGCCACAAGCTGAGCACAAGCCACAAGCTAAGCGCAAACAGATCACAAGTCATTACCAGTTCAATGACAAGCCAGTCACAAGCTAATCACAGACCAATCACATCAGTCATAAGCTAAGTGCAAAGCAGTTACAAGCTAATCACAGGTCAATGACAAACCAGTTATAAGCTAATAACAAGGCAATCACAGGTCAATAAAAACAAGCTAATCACAAACTATTCGCAAGCCAATCACAGACCAATGCATGCCAGTCACAAGCACAAGTTAAGCACAGATCAATCACAATGCAATCTCGAGTCAATCACAAATTTCATTACAGGCCAATCACAGACCAGACATAAGCTAATCACAAGTCCCTACTACTCAAGTGAACGCTGACAAAAACAACCTTTGTTATAGTTCACCCTGAGTAGTTTTTTTTTATAATAATTTGAATTAGCAGTTGACTTGCAATCTGCTGTTTGATATCTTGTACTGATCTATAAATGTATGCTCTCAACTCATCAATACTTACTGATGTTATTTGATGCCACTGTATCATTTTCAACTGAACTATTTGGCATATTCATATGCTGATAAATATTTGAGGAATTACTGATCGTTGACAAGTTATCTGTAGTTGTAGAAAACATGGAATTAGTTGTTGGATTCTGTGTCATTGGATTTGGAGTATTCTGTGCCATTGGATTTGGACTTTCACGGATTTCAAGAAGTCGCCAGCGTCCTGTCGGTACACTCCCAGTACTCTGTTCAAGGCCGTCTTGTCCTAGTCCAACAAAATTCAAAAAGGGATGTACACGATAGGAAACTCAACAAAGAAGCAAATCTCTTTAAAGGTAATACAACAATCTGCTACTGAACACGTGGTGTATTGATGATGATTGTGCATTTCATATGGAACAAAGTACAGCCTTAAATCTCATGCTAAGGGGCAAAAAAAAGTTACAGTTTACTGTTGGTCATCGCTGTTTAATCATCCGCAGGCCAAACATGTAAGCAACTCTGCGTGTTACACTGACAGGGCAGACCTTGCATCCTCGTCTGAATAACCTCAGACATGCTTCATTTTCAGTATACACTTTTGGGAATACATAGCTGGCTCACTGGAGTCAAAAACTTTTGAAATGAATTCTGACATCAATATTCATATGCTATTAATCATTCACAGTGGTTGTGACCTGAGTTATGATTAGCAACAAATTCTGATGTGGCTTGTGACTGACTAGATAACAATCTATTACATTATTTGACCATATTGTCAAGCTTACCTGCAACAGTGGTCTCAGTGTTTGGATCCTGTCTTGTTGAATAACTGGGAGTTTGAATGAGATTGTCTGGGATGGTGTGGTTGTTGTCTATTGTTGAATAATCATTGTCTGCTGGCGAGTGATTTGTTGATGAAGTGTCTACTGTAGACAGCAGACTTGTATTTGAGCTTAGTGGTGTACCGGCTGTTGAGTTGTAAGAAATGTTATTTGAGATGAAATCAGTAGAAGCCAGCATTATTGCTGAACTGGTTGTAGACTCGGCAGTTTCTTCATCAGTTTTGTTTGGGAGAACGAACATCCAATCATACTCGTCAAGCATTACTGTATTGTTGAAGCTTATGAAAAGTGCATAGACCATAGAATCATTGTCTGGTCGTAATTCAATGAACACACTCTCTCCTGCTCCTTCCACCTGGAAACTGTGCGTGAAACTGGAGTTACCCTCAGTCACTTCAAAGGTAGTGAAATTCTCCTCGGCACTGGTAGCCAGTTTAGAGAAACTGATATTGATGAGGTTGTCTTGGGATGAGCCGTTCACCGAGATTTCTGCCGTGTCATTGGTGAAAAATGTGATGTTGACTAAGCCACCATCCTGTCTGTCAGGATGGCTGCCCTCAACAAAACGGTAGGAATTGATTGGTGTGGACTGCAACTGTTGGAAAGAAGACAAAAAATCTCAAACTCTCTGAGTCCAAACAGATGCTTCCAGAGCTGACAGCAATCAAACATCTTTTTTACCACAGATATTTGTGCTGTGATATCCAGTAATCAGCACAGACATTTTGCATTAACCACGCATTAACACAAAATCTTTTAAGGGTACAGGTTTTAGAGGTGAACCTGTTGTTTAACTCTATGCTTTTCTTTAATGCCTGAAAACAATTCAACATCGTTTTGGTCAGTGCACTTTTCAAAACATTTAAAATCGTCAACAGTTTTCTGGACAACAGAGGGCAACGTTGATGAGATGTCAATCAGGAAAGACACTTCTCAGTTTATTTGTTTTTCATTCAAATAGTGAACCCAAAATTTGCACACAAAAGCATTTCTAATGACAGTAATTTATACACACCCCTAGCACCAAATTCCATTACCCTGCTCACCAGGCCACAAATATTCCCAACCATTTCAGCTGTGTGGGGCTACAGCTCAATACTGCAATTTCAGCCACAAATAATTCAAAGATAACAACCATCTCTGCCCTAATACATGCAGGTACCCATTTATAGCACTGGGTGAAGACAGGTCACAATATGTGATCAACAGCTGGATTTGAACCCCTGACCCCGGTGTTTGCCAATCACAAACCCTACCCAGGAGGCCAATACCAAAACGAAACAAACAATAATGAGTTATTAGCCATAATCTCCATAAGCAAACACTTTAACATTAACATAATGCATACAGAAGGCAATTGGTATTACATAGGTATACGTTTGGTTTCAGGGCTCAAACTTGACGGGCGCAGGTAGCTAAAATGCACCTGTTTGTCTCAGAAATGTGCCCATAATCAAAGACGGGCACAAGTACTTACACCTGTTTGATTCTATGTACCAGAAAATTTTTACCGTTTGTTTCTACTTTTGTCATGAGAACTTTTTTACTTCACTTTGGACCAGCCTTGTCACGGAACCATAACACGGTGCAATTTTGTTTACGATGTCACCGAGCACATGCCGCAGTCTCGCATGCGATGCATGCACACACATGAACGTACACACACACGCTTACCCGCGGCCAGTGTTACGATTGTATGGAAACTGGCCCCCTCGTTCGTAAATTCAAGCGAGACGAGTGGATTCAGCTTAGACTTCAGTTTCACTGGTTCCAGTCATAGCTTGAACATGTGGTTTTGAACCATGTTCCAAAATAGCTGGGACCAGCGAAACCAAAGTCTCAGCCTAATCCACTTGTTTCAAAAACGCTTGATTGCTGCAGTTAGTTCCCTTTTACATCTGTGTGCATATGCACGTTATAAAGACCGAGTGCCTGACTTTTTGCATAGTGTTGCTAAGCACATGCTTGAGGTTCCAGTTGGTCGCCTACTCACTACTAGTTGTACGTCACGTGCAACCCACAACAATAACAACTCGATCAAGGCTTTAATATCTGCCAAAGTCTAAGCCGTAAGTTATCAGTGTCATTAATTTAAACAAAAGCAACAGCAAGGACCAGGGTCTTTGCTTTGTTTTCTTGAACATATGTCTTTAATATTGTATGGGAGCTACTTGCTCTCGTAAAGTGACATATTCAGCTAAGGAGCAAGTACTTGCTTCCGTGATGATTAGCCCAATTTCGAACCCCAAGTTTGCAGCTCACCTAAAAATTCACTGAAACACAGGTACATTTCCAAGGGAAGGAAACGAATTTCAAAATTTGCAGACCCTTTGGGATGAAAGTTGATTGCACACTAGCCAAAACCGACTACTGAAAAATTCTAGCTGTTAGTGTTCAGTTCTGTACCCTTGTATTATAAAGTAGCATTATTTTTTCTTATGACAAAGAGATTCCTTATACTAGATCCAGCCCATGTCAGTCAATGTCTAAAGTCCAATTACACTTTAAATCCATGACCCAGCCTAGGACTGTCTTATGTTTTCTGTACCAGCAAATCCTGGTAGAATTAGATATTACAATCCCACTTTTTGCATCCACATTGTCATCTACATGACACAAGATTCTAGTTTTCCAAACTCACCTTCAAATCCACAGCATCATTTAAATTACAGTCCTCGTCATTTTCCATCAGTTCACACCATCCAGGCATCACAACCTCCCCTATATTATCACTAATAGTCTGGTTGGCAATCTCAGATGCTTTCTGACGGCTTATCATCAGCTTCAGAGAGGGAGAAGAGAGCAAGGTTGGCTGCTCACCGGGGAGCTTACTATCGACGACTTGAGTGAAGAGGCGCTGAATAGAATCTTCCATCTCACTTAAGACAGCCTCAGCTCTCAACTGGAAAAATCAAAATATAATTACATGTAATTTTTGCAAGTGTATGGTGTTATTTTTACACTGGGTTTTTAACGCCCCTCCAATGCATATTGGAGTGCCTGAGAAACACCACACAAGGATCTGTAAAATTGGAAATTTCAGAAAGCTACAAACTTATTGGGTATTTCTCTGTTTGTGTCATGGATTAGTAAATGCATGCCAGCAGGAAACTTATCATGGAGTAGATGTAGAACACAGACACGTGCTGAAACTTGTACAATTTTGGTGTCAACAGCCAACTTCTAACACTTACGTGGGATTCTTCCTGGTTCTGTTGTTGACTCAGAACTCAAAAGAAAAGGGATAAAAGTCAATGTAAACCAGAAACTCATGGAGAACATGTCAATATCATGCAAACCTATCCTTACCAGTAAGAGAGAGTTGAATAATTGAACTAATCCCAGTTAACCATCAACAACGCTTATAGCTTCATTTGCACCATGTTATTGTAAACAGTTACAAACTTAAGTTTTGTAAAAAAAAATGTTCAGGAGAATTTTTGTAGGTTTGATTCACCTTTTGTTTGAGGCGATTCATCAAGAAACGGCAGTGTAATTACAAAACAGTCAGTAAACTGTAAACATTTAGGTTACTTGACCTTAATCTTTCAACAAAAGTTAGGAAAACAAGATTCCCATGGAATGACTCTTTGTAAAATCCAACAAAGGGTTTTACTAATACATGATAAAATAAAGACAATGATTACAACCTACATGAAATTAACGACTAAATAAAGATACAACTGAGGAGCACAATGAGAGAAATCAGTATTACCTGACTGTTTGTATTCCGGATCAATAGGGTTGGTAACTGACTTGCTCACTCCCTGTCATCAGAAATTGTTACAGTCAATATCTCATTGATATGCGTTGAATCCTGAAAGTTATTGGGCTAGTTGAAGCGATGACATACATCACCAGAACAATGGATGGCTTGGACGATTTAGTCAATCATTTGGGACCAAGCACGGACGTATATAAAAAACCTGGACTTGCAATGCCAATGTATGAAAAAGAAGCCAACCAGCAGCCATTTTACCGAGCCGAATACAAAAGCGTGGGTCGGCTCCCTTCTATCGACGTCAGGAAGAACAAAGGTGGGCATTGCCAGGAAAGCTTCGTATTCGGCTCGGTAATGACAGCGAGTGGATTCAATGATCTCTACAAGCTGATTAAGGGCATATTGCGAGTCCAGATTTTATTACATTGCGTTCCCACTTGAATTGGGAAAAGGTGAAGCTTGATCTGGTATTTTGGTGTGATCATTATCTTACCGCAACGAAACCGCAAGTTGTGTTCCTACTTACGCTTGATTCACCTTTTTGGATGGAAATGTCGAGCCCAAGAGGTCACTGAGTTCGGTATTGCGCATGTTCTAGCTTGCTGAGCGCGCGCTCTGTGGCAGTGTTGCGTGTTGGGGCAGCATGCATGTGACCCTGCGGTGTTTTGGGGTGCAGAGTTCTACCGATGTGATGACCTTGAATCGGGCCGAGTGTTCAGCCTAGTACGTTGTCTCTTCAAACTTTGCTTCTGTTTTTGATACTCCGTTACACGCTGCGGGCTATACGCTAACACTTAGTAATTAGTTTTGATGGAAAGCAGGTGAAATTACTCAAATGAAAAAGGTTGAGACACAGACGAATGCGCAACGAAAATTGTGAGGGCTAGGTACACATCACGGCATGCTAGCCCGTAGTTCAGCAGTAGTTTTTTGTGCATGCTGTGCACGTTAAAATTTCTCATGAGCTACATGCCAAAAAATGTCTTTCTTTGTTCATCAGACCGCAAAAGTTTCGCACCAGATAAAATTGCCGGATCAGATCCACCTTTTGTGTTCCCATCTGATGGTGACCTGCCAATTGCAGGATCTAATCCAGCAAT